ATTTGCCTAAAATTTCCCACAATTTAATGATAATTTACTGAAAAATTTCTCAACATTTGAATTAGGAATTCTGTAGGAATTCCGCCATTTTGACAAAATTTGCCAAATTGTAAGTCCTCCATTATCCCAAAATTGTAACACAATTTATCTCAATTTACTTGGATAATTCTCAATTTGCCAGAAAAATTCCAGGCAAATTTTGCGACAATGACATCTGTTCGACCTGTGTTACAACGTCCAGTAACAACTGTGGGTGTGAGCGGCACCCCTATTTTGAAACTCTACCCTGTCGAAAAAATTAGTGATATCACCAAAGCCTGTGACATCTGGCTTTTTATAAAGTTCTTTCTTGAGAGATTGAAATCTGTGTACGAAATAATTAGTAATGTGGAAAGGGCGGTTTGTGAGTAATGTGTCACCATTATCACTGGCGGCAAGTATATCATGAAGGTGGGACCATCTACTTTCAGCCATGCTCAACATTACGAATAAAGTAGGTAAACCGATCTTATGAATTATTGCGTTTAAATGAAGTTATCTCTGGTGAAAATAGGAATCTCCGGTGCAGATGAAAGTTGGAATAGGGATTGTTATATTTTCATCTATTATATTACGTGATGAATAGGAGCTGGGGCGAATTAATTCTCTGGCAGATGGAAGGGTGATATTATCAGCATGATTGGAATTCATCATACAAGACTGTTGGAGGAGTCGTTGTGTATTCTGGTGATGTCTTAGCTTCTCTAACTGAAGATATGACCACGATGGCCAATAGTGATGGAGTCTCCACCTTGGATCGATATTCATTAGACGTAATTTAATGTATTTGCCATATGTCTCGACTCGAGTATTGTTGATTGAATCAGATTGATTTTTCAGATCGTGATAATGATTTTTTCCATCGGTGAATAGGTCTGGAAAGAGTAATGGTTCCAAGTTAGGGTCGTAAGTTGAGATAGGTATCCGCAAGGTTTCACTGTCTTGAACGAAACCTGCCATCAACCTGCTATAGTGGAAATCTTCGTCATGTACCTCACTTGGGAAGTCATAGTTTAGTACAACTATATCACGGGAGTTGGCAAAAGGTGCATTTGTGTCGGTCGGAACGTGACTCGTCCTTGGAAAAGGGTCATTTAGTGTATGAAGTGTATTATCAGACGATAAGAGGTTCGTAAATGGGCGAATGTAAGGATTATTTTCCGCCAACTAAGCTGCAGCCCTTTGTAAAGTTTTATCATTATCTAAGGTTCTGACGTCGTTAACACGATTATTATCTTCATTCGATTCCAAGAAAGCTCCCAGTGTTCCAGAATATAGAGCGTGTGCTCTAATATTTCGTGAATAATTCATTGTGCCGGTCAAACTTCTATATTCCGAATATTGATTACTATTCGGTATTCTTCCTAGAGAGCAGTGAAGGTAGACGGGAGATAAGAATCTCCTCTTGTGCATAGGAACGGAAGTGATCTCTTCTGGTAAAGGAGAGAGGTAGGGGAACAAAAACCTTGTAAAAGGTTTCTTGCAAGATTCGCAGGTAGGAATTCTTAGGTCTGGAATTCGATTAATATTAGGGTTGAAGGACAAGGAGACATTGGGAACACGTTGTTGTAAGGGATAAGTAATTGACGGGTTGTAAAACGACCAACACGCCTTTTGGGGTATAGGACTTTTCTGCAATACACACATGGTATTCGAGGCCATTGAGAGAGAATATTATTTTGAAACCTGTCATATAGTCTTTGTAATTTAGACGAAGGTCTCCAATAAGAGGGATGAGATGGGTGGCTTAGAGGCACTGGTCGAAATCAAAAAAATCGGACATATGGAAAATCAGCTAAAAATCAGACCAAAATCGACTGACATTACAAATTGGCACATCTGATTGATGCCAATTTGACAATTTAATGAAAATCCAGAAAAAAATCATCATATTTGATTGACGGCTGATTGATGCTAGTTGAAATCAAAAAAAAATCAGACAAATGGCAAATCAACCTAAAATTTGCCCAATATTCAAATATGTACTTNAAACATTTACGATGGTCACATGCAATTTTAATAGTAATTTGGGGCCTTAATTTTGGTCCAATTCCGATAATAAGCCGATATGGTATTAGGTAATGATGTTAGAAGTGGTGATACATTATACTCGGCAAAGTGGCTTTTTATTGCATTTACTGCATTTGTTGATTCTTCTCCTGTTGCAAACAAAGTAAGTTTAGTATGTGGATCTAAAATTGTAGCTACTATAGTGGATGAATCTACCACTTCCCAATACTGTTTAATTTTTTCAAGGATTGATAATGCCACTTCACTCTGACTAAATCCTTCTTCTCCAATATAATCATCTAGATGTTGTTGAATTCCAAGAAATAAGAACCTAATATCTGAAATAGTGGGATAAAAGAAGGCTGAAAGTAGTACAGTTGCCTTTTCTAAAGGCTCAAGTAGGATTAAGGTATCCTATTTATTTGTAAGTGTTAGAATTATTACTTATCTGTTTTTTAAAAAATTTAACTTACTCTAATTTTCGTCCATCCTTCTGCATCTGGCATTAAATTTCCAATGCTTTGATCTGTTGCTGCTAATATTTCAATAGGATGCAATATTTTTTGAAACTTTACTATCATATAATATGTGCTATTCCACCGAGATTCAACATCTAGTTGTGATTTGTAATATTGCAAATTATCTATTGAACACAATTCTCGCAATCTATTGCATTTTTGAGGTGAATTTTTAATTTTTTTCATTATTTCACGTATTTTAACAATCTCATTATCAATAATTTTAATTCCTTGCTGTGCAGCTAAGTTTAAAATATGTGCAGAACATCTATAGTGGTGGAAAGATTGATTGTTAAGTTCATCTGCAAGTTCTGCTGCTATTGTTCTTCCACAAACTATCATTGCTGATTCATTATCAGTGGTTAGAGCTAATGTTTTTTCAAGAATATGAAATTTTCTTAAAATTGAAATAATTGCATCAGCAATGTTTATTCCAGTATGACGTGTAGTAAAAGACATAAGATCTAATAAAAAATTTCGCAAATTCCAATCATTGTCAATAAAATGAATTGTTAATCCAAGATATGCATCATTATTGAAAGTTGATGTCCATATATCTGCCGTGAAAGATATCTTTCCTGGAATATTATTTAAATCATATTGTATATTATCACGTTTTGCTTCAAAATAATCCATTGCTAAGTTTTTAATTCCATTTTTATTGGGAACTTGATATCGAGAATCAAAAGTATTGACCATTTGCCTAAAATACAAATTTTCAACTGATCGAAAGGGCTGTGCATCTCCAATTATCCATTCTACCACTGCATTATCACACTCACTTTTTTCTTTTTCTGGCCAAGAATCAACCCATTTAAAATTCAAAACACTTTGATTTGTTAATGTACTTTTAACGTTCTCTATCATTATTTTATGTGCAGAAGAAAGATGTCGTTTTAAAGTTTATCCTTTCCAAAAACTTTTTGACATTTGCAACAGACTGGTCTTCCTGGATATTGTGACATTTTATCATTAAAATATTTCCACGTTGGTGAAATATGACGAATTTGGGGCAAATTTTCTTTTTCAGAGTTATTTTCTTCTTCCTCACTTATTACAGGATCTTGTGGTGCGTCTTGATTATACTCAATATCTGAAGATGATTCATATTCATCATAATTAGCATCATCAAAATCATTATCTGACATTTTTATTGGAAAGGAAAAGTTAATGGTAAAAATGAAACAAAGACAGAAAATGGAACAAAGACAGAAAATAAATGTGGTTTATTTAATAGAACACAGGAATTTATTAAAACGCGATTGATCTACATTGATAATTAAATTAATCATATGATTACTGACTAGCTGTTAAATGATCATAACTTTAATTTATATTATTATTATTATAAAAACTAGTTTGGGACCGTCCTAATTAGATCCCAAAAATTAGGACTCAGTCTTAAAGTCCGGGACTTGAACTTTCCCCACCCTAACTATGAGTTCGCTTCCATAGTAGATAACTTGTGTTTACGCAGACTGTTAGAGAGCCGTTCTAAAAGTATGGTAAGGCTCACTTTTCTGTTCCCTAAAGATAAGAAATTCCATGAAGAACTAAAGGAAAAAGTGTTCAACGATTTTGGTTCAGAAGCAGAAGAGGCTGTCAAAATGATCAAATCTCTTATCATTTCCGATTTGTTGTGTACGAATGCGAACTTCTTGCAAAAAGAAGTAGGTAATATCCTCAATGTTCCATTTGTGGTTGAAAAAATAGAAGATTCTAAGGTTATCCTCGAAGGTAGTGTAGAACTTTCCCGCTAAGGATTTTAGACCATTGCCAGCAGACGCAAACCTTGCAGTTTGGTATGCAAACAAGGGGCATCCTCTTACTGAAGGAGAAGGTTACAAGAAACCAAGAAGAGTTAGGCAATGAACTTCTAAAAAAATGTGAGGATCCAACTATAATCCCACGAAGAGCATGCACAGAATAAATATCACGACTTCTATTAAACGAGAGTACGCTACTACTATTGATTATGCCAACAGCTTCTCCCAAAATAACCCATACCTTAATACTGTTGTCAGGCTCCTTACTTTTCTAAAAAATAACTACACTCCCAAGTACGAAAAGATTCTGCCTGTTATCGACTATGACCTATTGGTTACCTATTACTTACTGATGGAACCCTATAAGACCCGTAAGGAGTTTCTGATTGAGGACAATATCCTATTCGGTGATGGTAAGTGGAATGGAAGCAGGAACGCTAACAGCACTCTTTCAGATTTCAAGGCATTTTTCCAGGCGTTTGACCAGGTGTTTGACCAGAGTACTGCCGACATGAATTGTTTAGACCGATCAGAAGTCATATGTTTTCGTCCGAAATTCCTCCCTGTTATCACACATGAAAGGGATTCATACCGAATTAAATGATCCGTACTATGGCCTAAATATCCCAGACAAAGTGATTTCTTTTTACACCCAGTTAAGTAACAGCAATAGCATAGAGAATATAGGCCCTGTTTTCCCCGATTCTACTTATAAGGGATTAGCTGGTCTAAAGAAATTATGGCAGGATGAATTCCGTTTCTAGACCTATTCTGCCCATACATTTATCCTAAACGAAAAAAATACAAATGAAATGCCAAATGCGAAGTCTCAAGCATTTTACGAGATGGTATCCTGCATCCGGACTAACTGGCTTGAAAATAACTATGACAATGAACGTTTCATTACTAAAAAAAATACCTATGTTAGGAATGTTGCCCCAAACTTGGATTTACAGTTTCTTCTTACGTTTGTGTGCAGTTCAGACTTTCTGTATATTCCATGCCCTTCCTCTGTAATGCAATCCATAGCAGAGGGCAAAAAACCAGCTGACTTACACCAAACTGATTTATACGCTTTTACTCAAATAAAGTACTATTGATTTGTTTCTTGGACTGTCTGTGCCACAAATACTTGCCAATTACATATTTCTGCTGTCAGATGGTCGAGTTGGACTGATATGGCTTAATCTTGCAGTATAGTTCTTTCTACTGTATACCATTACTCTAACAATATACGATTCTATGGAGACATGCTTCAGATGACCACGCAGCGATGATATAGAATTACCATGAGACTATGCCAATAAATGGACAGCTCTATTCTTTGTCTATTGTTTCATGAACTGATTCACTCCTAAGGATATACCTATCAAAATTTTTTAGGGACTCTTAGCCTTTCTCCCCAATTCATTTCTCATTTGCAGTGGTTTACGCCTATTGAATGCAAACAAAATTTCCATTAAGCATTTCTATGTACTGGACTGTTTTTTGTACTATTGTGTTTATGCTTTTTCTATTCCAGAATTCCATACAGAGATGAAGTTCTTCTCAATGAATTCATTCGTTTTTGTTTAGTGCATACTCCAGTATAGACCCCATATTCGTTACGATGACAGGTTGAAAAGTATAGTTTATGGGATATGCAAATTGGTATCACCTTATTATGTTTTTTTCTTATCATGTCTAGGTGCAACTAAAGTTATACTTCTTTGTTTGTTTTTGTTGTTAAGCAATCTCTCTCTATGACAAGGTATTAGATTAACTGCGCATAGTGTTTGTATGCTTTGCCTTAGTTCTATTAACATGGATAAGCTTTCTTTTATTTTACTTAGTGTGGGCACTAATTTACATTTATTTGATAGTACATTTCTATGTTTTCCCTATTTCACTATATATTTGTATTTACCCTATTACAATAAAGAAATGAATACCTGCTGGACACTCCAAAGGAATAAAGATACTTGGAAAAAAATTCTTGGATAAAAATTATGTGCATCTGATGCTATTATTCTCATAGATTTTTTGTCAGAATTCTTCGGAATGAAATATCAACACTACCTTAACAATTGTATATGCATTATGCGGTTTCTTCAACTCAGCTCTACTCATTTGTAACATGTCAGACGTACACCGCATAAACGTTTGAAATAGTATTTCCAGAAATACATCTCTTCAAGTGGTTATCTTGATTGTGATGATTATATACATACCCTCTAAGTATGAAAACTAAGGAGTCACATACACTACAATATATATAATCAGTTGGTTTCAGGACATTGTATCCCATACATGGCCAGCCAAAATTGTTGAGCCTTTTACCCACTTGTTACACAGAATGATTTCATCATTAAAAAATATAAGCCAGTCTTTGACTAATCTAATACGTAAGCTATTACTCGTCACTTCCCCTAGAAACCTAGGTTCTACTTCATAGTTCATACCTGACTGTCTTGCTGCTCAACCACGTTCTTTAAAGGTCTTAGGAAATACTCCTATTGTAGAACTTCCTTTTAAAGGTTTTAGGAAATATGTTCTAAGTCTATAGACTAATTCTTATGGATATACTCGTGGAATATTATCACAATAGCAAAGCTGGGTTCGTAAAATGTCATCTGGTTTCAGGTATCTAATGTTTAGGCATGATTTCATACACATAATTTCATACTAAATGAATCAAGGAATATGGCGGTTTATTCGACAATGCGTGCAATAGAAACCTTTTTGTGCAATAACCATTAGTTAATTGGTGGTATTGTTTAGCTAAACTGTGATTTTTATATGACTTTCATTGTGTTAAAAAACTATCATAACACGCTAATATTTATATGGTAGAGTTAGTACGGGAAATTATCAATTAAAAAAAGAAAAATCACTAATATAAAATCAGTTGCTAGCAACATCCCGAAAGGGTCTGATTTCTTCTCGTATATTCATAGTCTCTTGTCATAGATGTTTTGCCTAGTCACTCAAAGATGGGGTTTTACCACATCGGACTTGAGGAACTCAAGGCAGTGATAGCTAATTGAGTACAATTACGGTTTTCTCCTCCCCTTCCTATAAAAAGTATTTATATTTAAAATATAATTAAAAACTTTTTAAAATATATTTAAAATATACTTAAAATATATTTAATTTAAAAATTGCGAAATACTTATAATATACTTAAAATGTATTTAAAATTATCTTAAAATATATTTCTAATATATTTAATTTTTGCCCAAATACTTAAAATATACTTGAATTATATTTAAATTAAAATTTAAGTATATTATAGATATATTTTTTTACATACTTAAAATATTCTTATAATATATTTCATAATATATTTTAAGTATATTTTAAGTATGTAAAAAATATACTTATTAGTCCAGAGCGTAGCGAAGGACTCTTTATATTCTATCCATGGTGGTATAAAAGGACCCCGAACAATATATATAAAGGTAGGTTTTGAGTTTGCTTAACCAACATATAAAAATTTTTCCTATGTGAGATTTATTATTGCTTATTTGATACCATAATTTTTAAATAGTCAGATATAATTATGCATAGCAGAGTATTAAATTATTAATAGTCAGATATATATTTGCGTAGCAGGATAGATTTTTTTAATATATATATATAATATAATATATATTTACATTTTTCACATTAAAAAAATTTAATAAAATATGTAAACAAAGTTATAAACATGTTTGTGTAAAAAAAATTTACTATTTTTAATACAAAGAATAAGTTAATTGTATACGTAATACAGGAACTGTCTCTTATACACATCTAGATGTGTATAAGAGACAGATATATATGTCATAAAATAAATTGCTTAGCAGTGTAAAAAATTTATGGGTTAGATAAAAGTTTGCTTAGCAGACATGAAAAATATTTGCTTATTGACCTTAGTAAATTTTGAATTTTTTATCTGACCTATATATATATTGTTCAGGGTCCTGGTATAAAATATCCCGTTGTCCGTCCGCTTGTTCTTTGAGTCGACGTTTAATTGGTTCTTATATCACACAAAATTATCTTGATCGGTTAATTGAGCATGTGATTATCTACCTATATACTGATAAGCTACGGTTTACCGTTTCCCTAGTAATAATTTTATAATATACTTAAATTTTAATTTAAATATAATTTAAATATATTTTAAGTATATGGGCAAAAATTAAATATATTAGACATATATTTTAAGATAATTTTAAGTATATTTTAGATATATTAAAAATATATTATAAGTATTTTGCAATTTTTAAATTAAGTATATTTTAAATATATTTTAAGTATATTTTAAGTATAATACTTTTTATAGGGCCTGTGTTTTACGTGATTGTATTTTGACTGGCTATGCTGTAAGGGTTGGGCAATTTCAGGAAATTAAGTATATGTGAGACATAATCGCTTTTATACTTATTTTGTTACCCATTTTGTTTTCCGATTTATACTCATTTTGTTACCCATTTTGTTATTCGTTTTGATCCTCATTTGTTATCCGTTCAAGAAGTTGCAGGTCAACTACAGCATTTCTTAGAAAGTTGCTTGTGTTTGATGGCCAAAAAACTTGACAGTTAAAGATATCTTTTTCTTCTTTATCAATAACTGTTGCAAAAATACTACATTCAGCATCTTTATGTTGAAGAATTTCTAAAATATTTTTTGGAATGTTTAATTTAAAAGTATGATGAATTCTAGGTACAGATAAATGATAAGTATAATATTCAGTATTTGTATAAAGAATTTTTTTTCCAACCAGTAATAAAACTTGTTTATGTAAATCTTCAGATAAAGTTTGAAAAACATTAACTGGATCTTTAAATTTTATGCAACTCCAGTATTTAAAATCATTTAAACCAATCTGACTCACTATGTAATAACCGAAAAATACAATAAAATAGAATAAGTATAAATAATTAGCCGAAGGATAAATAATTAACCGATGGGTAAATAATTAGCCAATAAAATCATATTTATAGTTTAGTTTAGTGTAATGAGATAATCATATGATAATAGATCTTCAAATTTTATTAGAAATATTAGAAATATTAGAAATATTTTTCTTAAAAATGTATAAATACAAGTGGATTTCAATAGGAAATTCCAGAGTTCAATTTTTGGAAAAAAAAAAAAATTTTTAGTTTGTCCTTAATAATAAACTAACATATTCTTTTAGCCTTTTTCTTATGAGTAAAAAGTGTCACATTAATTATTTTTTTTTTTAATGGTTTATTAATGTTTTGTAACTAATTTTTATTCTTAAACTAAGCATAGATATTATTTGAACTCAACACGTCGGTGGCAATATACAATATTTTATTTTAATATCCTATGGGCGGCGTGTTACAACTAAAGTTGCTAGAACCAAATTGTTTTCCTCCAAATAATTTAAAACTTTTATATTTAGAAGAATTATTCTTATTTAAAGAATTTGAACTCTTTGCTTCAATTTTAGAATTTAAAGCCTGACCACCTATATTTGTAGTGTAATCACTAGTATTTTCTTCAGAATTTTCACTTGCAATAAAATAAGCTCTTCCACCCAAAATAACTTCTTTTGAAATAAATTGACCAAAATCATTTATGATATCTTTAAATTTTCTAGGATCTTTAGAATTTATAACATCCTTTACTGCTTCAATAAACTCTGTAGTTGGTTCTAATTTAAATTTTAAAGACCTTTTTTTATATTCAATAATATTATATGTTAGACTGGTTACAACATTGGAATTTTTGACATTTGAATTTTTGAATGATACTCCCGATTTTGCAAAATTTGGTATATCAATATCAGCAATTAAAAGGAAATCATTTTTTTTAATTTTATTTTCTTCCAAATCAATATGAACTATGCTATTTTCATACCCATTATTGATTTCATTCATTTCACAATCCACTATTATGAATGCTCTCTTATTAGCTTTTTCTAAAGTTTTAGTACACCCATATTCTAGTTTGATCTTATCTTTCAAAAACTTCCAATTAGGTTCTGGTTCTGATTTTAAATATAATAACATACTTTTTTTGTTTATAATTTTTTCTAAAGTTATATTTTCTTCATCTTTTTTTGCTATTACAGCTAAACTAGGACCCCGGAAAATACTTATATAGGTAAGGTCCCAAAAATATTTTTTATTAGTAGCTCTAAGCATAGGTTTTTACTATGATCACTAAGCATTGTTGATATCTAACCTTAAAAATTATATAAAAATAAGCAAATCAATCTTCTAACCTAATTAAATTTTTATTATAACACATATAATTTATAAAATATATTTATTAATTTAATATATTTTATTAAATCCAATTTTAAATATGATCAATACATTGTGAAGCTAAACTAAACATAATATACAAGTAGATTAATAATATTCAATTAATAAAGTTAATAAACAGTAAAAGAAAAATTCTAAATTAATACTATTACAAAAAATGTAAATTTCTCCATAAGTATTATACTTACACCCATAAAAATTAATATGTAAGTAGTTTCGACCTTGCTGAACAATTCTCAATTAATTTAGAAAGTCAATTTCATTTGGCCAAAGTGGTATAACGCTCTGAAGTTGTAAACGGAGAAATGAAAAATTTGAAAGTTAGTACCATTATAAAAAATGCACTTTTCTCCATAAGTATTATACCCACCCTCATGAAAATTAATAAATAAGTAGTTTCGACCTTGCTGAACAACTTTCAATTAATTTAGAAAGTCGATTTCATTTGACTAAAGTGGTGTAATTACGCTCTGAAGTTGTAGACGAAAAAGTGAAAAATTTAAAAGTTATTACCGTTATAAAAATATGCTTTTCTATATAAATATCATACTTAGCCTTATGAGAATTAAAATACAAGTAGATTTAACTTGCTGAACAACCTTATTTAAGCATAAAAATAACCAAAGTGGTGAGTAGTGAAATTATATTTTAAAGTAAAACATATTTACAGTAATTTTATTTAACAAAATAAATAGTATCTTTTTAATTTTTATTAAACTCAGTGTATTATTTTTAATATAAAATTACTATATTATACATGTTGAAAGATAATTAATAAAACATTGAAAAAAAAAACTGAAATTTCATCAAAAAAAATTTTTGTTTATATATTTATATAAAATTGTGAAATGTAGTACAAAATCAACACTCACCGTTAGTGAAAATAAAATAAAAATTAATTATAAATTCAATATATAATATTTTAAAAAGTTCTATAAATATGAAAAATAAGCAACTAAAAACTCTTAGTATTTTAAAATAGGAAAAATTTATTTATCACCCCCGTTATTTCACGGCCCTCGTTTATATCACATGATAATCATGTGATAAAATATATTTTAATTTTTATGTCCGTGATGTATATAAATCATAACTGCCTAACCCTAACACAGGTCAAAAAGTGAAAAATTAGGCATCAATCAGTCACCAATCGGTCACCAATCAGGTATCAATCAGCTACCTGATTGGTGATCGATTGGTGCCTGATTTTTCACTTTTTGACCTGTGTAAACTAACCCTAAGTCTCGTACCAAATGTCAATTATCAAACAACTTTAAAATTTTAATAGGTTTTTTATTGCTTTGTTGCTTTGTTGTTGCAAATATATATTAAATTACTACATAGATCCTAACTTCCTAACCCTAAACTAACCTTAAGTCTCTCGCTCAACTCAAATTATATATTAAATTACTATAGATCCTAATCACTTAACCTTAAACTAACTCTAAGTCTCTCATTCAACGCAATTATTATTTAACGCAACTATTAAACAACTTTAAATTTTAGCACGTAAGAATATATAAATCTTCTATTTACTTTTTACATGTTCTTTCATTATGTCCTATTTCTTTACATTTACTACATATATATTCCTTTTTATTGGCGTTTTCTTTACCTAAAATATTACCACTGCTTTTTCCAGAAATTTCTATACTAGATTTTAATCTTTTGTTAGCAGGACGACCTTTTGCAATATGTTCTAATTGTTCATTAATCTCATCTGTTGCATATACTCTTCCATTAGCTTCAAAAACAATTTTGCCATTAATTTCTGCACTTCTTACATTTTTATTTACTACATTATCAATTGTTCTCAATCTCCTATTTGATTCTTGCATCTCATGATTTTTTTTTCTTTTTTCAATAAATTTATTTAAAAAATCTTTTAATTCATCATTCCTATCTTTTATTGCTAATTGAGAAGCCTTTCTTGAAAGTCCTGTTAAAATAGCATACTCATTTTTTTTAAAAGCTTGTCTTTGAATATTAGGTGATTTATAGCGTTGATTAAAAATATTTGTTTGTGTAAAGTCAATATCAATTAGCTGATCTCTATCTGATTTATTAACATTATGCACATTATTACGTTCATTACCAAGTGTAACAACTGGTGAATTATTAATTTTCATCAAATCTGATTGTAAATGTTCCTTATACCATCTTTTTGGAATCATATTAATATGAAATTTTGCAACATTATTACTTTAAAATAATGGTGGCAAATTACTCCACTATTAGCTAATAATAAACAGGTACATGCATACCAGCCATTTTTTAAGATTACTACATATTGACAAGAAGTTGGTGAACAAGCCAATAATGATTCAACTTTCCAAATTTCATGTATATCATCAATATTAAATTCTTGTAAAAGATTTTTAAGAAAGATTTTTTTATCTTCATACTTATCTTCAATAAATATGGCAATCGTTGATTCATCTCCATTGTTAATTAATTCTGGATTAATTTGATTCTCTAAATCCAATTCGTCTTGACAATGTAATAATTCAAAAATATCATTGTCCCCAATTAGCTTTGCATGATAAGTTGAAGCTTCACAAATTTGTTTTTGATGTTCTGCACATAAGGAAGAGGATAACCATTCGTTTAATAGTGTATTAACTTCCCAAAATACACTTGTAACCATTAGAGGTTGAAAATAATGTGTTTTTGAATGCTTAAACGTCAAAAATCTAAATAAGCAATGTTAGAATTATTATACTAAAATTAAACAATATATACCAAACTAACTATACACTTTTACCTACCTTTTATTCATATTTTCGGTCTCAAGCCTTTCAATTATTTTATGAAATGTATTTGTAAGAGACATGCTAGCTTCTATTTCTCTGTGTAATATTCCATTGAGACCTTCTATACGCGTATATACCTGCTGTAAAAAATTTAAGGGTGTAACAAGATGCCCAAGATTCTTTACATTTATAAAGAGTATTTTGAAGATAGTTTTCAGTTTGACAGTAAGTATTCTTTAAATTATTCCAATTAACTTCAAACATTTCTTCAGATAAAGAATTTCGTGCTTTATAAAATTCACTAACAAACTTTAAATAATCCTTTCCCAATATACCTTTTAATTTACGAGGTAAATTTTGATGAATATGAAATATACAATGTATATGATGGGTGTTTGGTAATTCTTGCTGGATAGCACTAATCATCGCTGGATCTGCGTCAGTAATTATTACACCTGGTTCAATAGAAGTTCATTTTAGGCATTGTAAAATCCAAAGATATGTCTCTAGGGTTTCATCTTGTACAAATGCTTATGCAATCAGTCATGTTTTATTATCACAGTCTACAATAACAAATAAAGATAATGGCCACTTATAGTGATTTGTAAGTGCTGTATTATCATGTAAAACAACATCATTATATCGACTATAAAGCATTTGTTAATCGGAAGTCATCCAGAAAATTCCATTTAAACGAGATATGAAAGGATCAACTTGAGGTATTACTATAAATGAAGGACCATTTTTTTGCATTATAAATAATTCGTTTAAAAGTGTAGCCCCATCATTTCCTGAATTACCAAATTCTCTCTTGATTTTTTGGATATAGTTTAATAAATCTTGTGACAACATAAATTGATTAGGAAATTTTAGTTTTAATAATGATCTAATAGTAGGTAAATCCATAACATCACATTTAACATAGTGTTCAATATCAGACTTAATATCTTCTGAAAGACCACAAAATTGAGGAGCAAATAAAGTATTATCAGGCAATAATTCATGATTATGCGTATTGACAAACTTTGTAATCTTTACATAGTTAACATTTAAAGGCTGAAAAAGGTTAATATGCCAAGAGCATTTTGTTTTCTTTGATCCTTTATTTCTAATCATAATTTTGTTGTTATCTCTAATTCTACCTGAATATTCACAATCAATACATCTTGATCTAATACTGTCATCATTGTTTTTTTCAACCCTTTTTTTCCTAACAGAAAATCCGTTAAACCGTCCAAATTCAATACAATAATGAATAGCTATTTTAAAATTTGGAAAATTCATTCCTTCATCTAAGGTAGGATATGACTGAAGGTGTGAAATAGCTTCACCATACTGAATTAAATTAGTGCCTTCAATGTCAAGTGGAGCTGTACATAAAAATATAAAAAATGTAATTAATCTTTGTTATGTGGATTTTAGTAATAAAAGTAAGATACTTACGTAAAGAAGATACTTGATTAAAGGGTGGCTGTGTATTATCTAATGGTAAACTCATTGTAATCGATGGATAATTTGATATATTATTAAACAAATGTGTTTCAGATGTGGTTGTATTAAAACTTTCAAAAGAGGGCTCCATTATAATTTATAATTTAGGAGAAAGAGGAAAGTTAAAAAAAAGTTTCGTGAGAAAAAGTTTATTTGATTAGTAATAAATCGATGTGATAATCATATAAATGTGATAAATCACAAGATGATCAGGTGATAACATGTAACCCGTGATGGATTTCACATAAGTGATGTATATATTTTTTCTTTAAAATAATACCAAAAATATGCAATTTAATTATCTTACATAGTATAAAATTTTCTCAAAATTAAGCATTATAAAATTCTTACATCATAAAATTTTTCTATGTTGGCTAAGCACCTTGGTACCTCACATATATAAGTATTTTCCGGGGTCCTGCTAAACTATTATCGTTGATCATCATAGCAAATGAAAATGTATCGTTCATTTTGACTTCACTATTTTTTTCAAGTTTTTCACGAATTTTTGATAAGCCAGTTTTAAGATTTAAATTGACTAATACAAGTTTTGATGGTATTTGAATTGTTATGTTGATGTCATCTTGTACATTGGTGGAATCCATACTATATTGATATCTTATTATTGTTATTATTAACACGTGATATTAATATGTTTATGTGTCATGTGAAATCGGATTATGCATAACAAGATTACAAGAACAATTATAACAATTATCTTTATTAATAAAAATTATTATTAAATTTTTTTTTTATCAACCTGGTAGGTTAAAGTAAGTTGATTTGAGAACAGGTAAATTTGGTGAAAAACGAATGAGAAAATAAATAAATATTTGATACGTAAATTTTAATGAACAATCAAAATTTCAAAGAAAAAAAAAAACTTTGTTGAGATTAATAAAAAAAATTTATGAAAATTGACTAACTTTAAAGGATAAAAAAAGTCGCCACTTTAGACGATTTTACTACTTTCGATAGATGTGTTGTGTTGATTTTATGCACTACACAAAATTCCAATAGTTATAATGAAATAAAAAAAAATAATTATTTACTTAAGAAAAATTTTAATTCGAGGGCAAAATGAAAATATTTTAAGTTCCTTCTAATTTCTATTTAAAAATTATTGATAGATGATATCAAAAAATTCAAAGGAAAAAAAAAAAGAAATTGCTTATATATTTTATGTGTACCTACCATATACACATCATAAAAATAAAAAGGGTCTGGTTCATTTCACCGACAATCATTTCGCCGACAAACGTTTCACCGACAAATATTTCACCGATAGGGTTATCTCACCAACAAACGTTTCACCGACAAATATTTCACCGACAAAGCTATTTTGAGAAATTTTATTTTATAAACATTTCAAATGGATTCGTATTGTGTTTTATTGGGTACCATTTTATTGTATATTTTTTACATTTCCCTTGTAATTTAGTATAATTGCTGTTACCTATTACATTAATACATTTAATACATTTATTTAAAACAATTAAAATCAAGCTAAAATGATAAATTATGTGCTATTCCCTAAGGAAATCAATAACTTCTCTATTATCCCAGTCATTATAAACTATTTGAATTTAAATTTCTCATTCCCGATCCTTTTTCTTTTGTAAAGGGCATGGGACTCCTCGCAAAATTGACTCGATATTATTTTCAACTTGATTTTGTTCATACTGTATTTCTTTTATTATTTTGAAGATACTTATATGTGCATGACCCACCAATGTATTCCATCTCCTATGCCATGCTTCGACGACGTTTTGGGTTCTAGGAAAAGTGTATTCAATATTGTCTGTGACCGACCAGATTGAGGGTGGGAATAATGGATTAGAGCGGATTATATTCCCACTTCTTGTTGTTTGTCATATCCTACTACAGATGTAATAGATTTCGAATTATTTCATGATGCTATTGGCTTCTTCTGGCATGATGGCTCTTAGTTTATCAAATGCTAAAGGTATATTTTTATAAGGTAAAAAAGCCAGAGGTAAAAAAGCCAGAGCAGGAATGTGGCGAATGAGTAAACTGAAAGTTTTGTCAGTTCCATACTGAACTGTAAGGCCAAGTTCTTGCACTTTGCGATAAATATTCTGCGATAAATGAAAGTGTCAACCTTTATTTTGAACTCCTTGGAATTCAGCACGTATGGCATTAATCGCAGCAATTTCAAAATCGGTTATAATAAACTGAGGCTGTAGATTAACATCATGTTCATAGCCAGAACCCCGGAAAATGCTTATATATGTAAGGTACCAAGGTGCTTAGCCAACATAGAAAAATTTTATGATATAAGAATTTTATAATGCTTAATTTATTTTAAGAAAATTTTATACTATGTAAGATAATTAAATTTCATATTTTTGGTATTATTTTAAAATATTAAGAGTTTCTAGTTGCTTATTTTTCATATTTATAGAACTTTTTAAATTATTATATATTGAATTTATAATTAATTTTTATTTATTTTCACTAACGGTAAGTGTTAATTTTGTA